ACGCGAAAACGGCGAAAACGGCGAAAACGCGAAAACGGCGAAAACGGGAAAACGGCGAGAACGATGAAAACCGTTGTCTTGGTTTTCTCGTTTTGCCGGTTTTCTTGGTTGCGGTTTTCACGCTCAAAGGCAAGACAAGCAAGAAGACGTAAGCAAACTGGAAAAAGCTTCCACACAGGAAAACGCGAAAACGGTTTTCTCGGTTTTCTCGGTTTTCTCGGTTTTCTGGTTTTCTCGGTTTTCTCGGTTTTGTCGTCGCATCGCGCGGGCCACGACGCAGGTTTTGTGTTCTTAGTCTCCGGGGCTCCCCAGTCAGAGGGGAAGAGTTAGTGTGCGACCAGGAGGTGGCATACTGACATACGGGATGTACAGGTACTCCTCCGCAACGGAAAAATGACCCGTCGCCAACTGGTTTTGGTGTCCAATCAGTTTCAAGCCTTGGGAAGAATAACACTTCATCTTGACATCTTGGGTTGACCCAGCCATCCAAGCAAAATCCAAGGCTGTCACTGGGGGCGGGCTTCTTAACCAACTCGCCGCATCAATCGATGCAGATGTGGTTCTTCGTCTGAAGTGATGAAGCCCGAAGAAAGGCGTCCGATCTCGACCGGGGACGTGGGTTTCGCCCCAAGCCCACCACCGACCCACCTGCTTCTTGCACACCGGTCCGTGGCATGAAACCGCGTGCATGGAGAAGGAGGAGAAACAAGTCGCTCCAAAACCACCACGTCTTCGCCACAAAGCACAAAGACTCTTGGCATTATCAAAAAAACATGGACATGACGGACATGGAAATGGAGGGTCATTCCTGGTCATCTGAGGTGGCCATGATCGTCCAGCATCCACATGACGTCTCTTTCTCCGAGACCTCCCAACCACCCGCCCGCCCGAACCCATAAAATAACAACGACCCGTTCGGCTGCCGGCCCCCGAACGGCCCAACCGGTGGGTCTCCCCGACAGCGAATCCCAACGGCGGTCCGTGTTGAGCGCCAGCGCCGCGTCGTAGAGGCGCCGGAAGAAGGGCCAGGGATGCCAAGCGTCATTGGCCGGAGGACACAGAACGAAACTGCACTTCAGCTTCCTGACAAACCGGAGGCAGTCGAATACCCCCAACATGAAAAGAAAACAAACAGGATAAGTCACGAATCTTCCTTCTTCGTCAAAGTTTTGGGTTTTGCTCTTCTCAATCTCCTTCCCGCCACCTGTACCTGGGAGATCCACACCATGACCGTGGCGCTTTGCCCGTGTAGGACGAAGCACTCGTTACGGAGCAGCGGCCGGGGTCGGAACAGATCCGAACGAAGCCACTCCGATCTCAAAAGGAAAATGACCACAGAAAAAGACAACCCTTTTCCTCTACATGCGCGCTGTACTTCTTCCATCCATGTTCATGTGGGACGGCCTAATTTCAAAAACATAATATGTTGTACGATATTTTAGGAGGTTTTACAATCATAGTGAGCGTTTTATTCATCAAGAGTCAACCCCCATCATCGATCCTCAGCAGACCAAGAGTCCCCCGCCGCTTTTTAAGGACGATGAAGTGGCCGTACCCTGGAAGTACTGAGGACTGCTTGGTGTCAACCCCCGGAAGCAGAAACAGTTTCAGCTTCATAACAATCATAAGAACTTCACCCCCAAAAAATAAGAAAAACTCAAGACTTTCCCACACGTCCGAGGAAACCTGCTGTCCAGCTTCTTGCAAAAGCCACTCAAATCCACCCCACCATCGCTCAGCACAAAGATCCGCGCTTTCGGATAAACCTTCCTCACTTCCTTCACTTGTTGGATCGCCACCCCAGCTTGCTCGCCCACGCGCAGGTAGAACCCCACGCGCTCGGTCGACAAGGGCGGCCCCGGCGCATTCGGCGCGACCAGGGGCGCCGCCAGCGGCGCCCGCGCACGGAGCGCGTCGAGGGCGTCCAGAGCACTGGAAGGCGGAGCAGGAGCTGCAAACAGGGCCCGGGAGGAGTGCACCACCTGGCGATGGGAAGGAGAGATGAAGAGCGGACATCTTGCAGGAAGCACGGCCCCAGGATCTACATGGGATTCCAAACACGCCCCACACACATGATTCACATGAAATGCCCAAGTGATGCTGGCAGAACGGATTCCTTCCACATCTCTGTTGGCTGTGTCATGTGGCAGCGGAGCTGGACCTCGAAATCACAGAAGCCCGACCCGTACCGACCCCAAGGTTGACCCCACCACCTATTGGGCACGTAGCTTTTGGTTGCATCCCATCAGGCTTAGAAGAAAAAGAAAGGTGTGGCAATTGCTTCGGATTGGTATCTTGCTTGAACCCTTACCATCTCCTGACTTCAATGTAGCACTCTGGAGGCTTCTTGCCCACCAGCAGTCGGGACTCTTGTTGCATCTTGGGCTACTTCCGTCTCTTCCGTTCCACTGCCTCACTTCCACTGCATTCCACTTGAAAAAGACCTTCCACCGAGCCGCAGCAATCGCCACAATGAGACTCAAGGGAAGCAAGACCCGCCAGAGGACGCGCGACATGATGCGACTCCATCGGGGGGACGAGTCGCTCCTTTTGTCGCCAGCTGGCCTCCCTGGTAGGCTGTTTCTTCATTTCTACCCCTACCCGGTAGGCTGGTCAACTTGGATTTCAAACACAGGGACTACACATGTACTGTATAAGCGCAGAGGGCTTGTATGGGCTGATGCGATGTTGTTCACATAAAGCCGAGAAATCCAAAGAACCACTAGCCGACCTCAACAATTGAGCGGCTACCTGGACCTCCAACAATTTCTCAGTGACACACCTGTTGCAGTGGAGTTCGCATGCTCCCAGCGAACATTCTCTTCCATCGGACACATGGCGTTTGCTGTTTGAATGAGCACCGTCACCATTTGCGTCGAGCTGGTGGATGAACGTCTGGCAATCACCCGGGGTTTTAGTCTTACTTGTTCTCCACACCCTGACATTCTCACCATCCACAAGCTACATAGACATAGACCAAAGGGTCGTTGTGCCCGCTACTGTTGAGGTCACTTCTTGACGACCACACACACTCCATGTCTGCGTGCGGACCGGGTCCGTAGGTCACCTGAGCCGAACTTCCTCGGACCGTCCGGTGCGGAACCACGTCACTTCAAGCGAAATCGCCATGTCAGCCGGGCACTGGGAATTCTGGCAGAAGGCTCTACAAAAGGTCCAACAAGCATCAAATCGACCTACGTCCTATGGCTCTTTTGGTTGTCCAAAAACTCCGGACGTGAAGACAAAACCCGGTCCTCCTTAATGATCGTCTCACCCTGCTTGGCGTTCTTCAGCTCCTGGTGATCAGTGCCATGCAGCAAATGCAGGACCAGGTCCACGAAAAACCGCTGGCGATCGTCTGATCGTGGGATGCCCTGTCTCTATGGGATTGGGATGCCCATACCGGCCGCGGGGTAGAAGAATGTCCCGTTTGGGCAGGTAATGTAGGCTCTTGATTTCTTGATAAATTAGCCCACCCCATTTCAATTGAAAAACCTCTGGATTCATACAGGGGGGGTGCATTAATCAGGAGTCTGAGTCTACATTCTATCTGCTATGGTCTTGAAAAAAGTGGCAGCTTCTTGTTTGCTCGCCTCCCCAGGTGTGTCACCTAATTACCCAGCCAGACTCGGGACCGACCTGAGCCACGCCTTCGCTCCATCCGAACACCTCCATCCGACCCGGCCGCTGCTCGACCGACTGTCGCCTGTTGGAGGCCGACTGCGGAGACCAGGGTGATGAGATCCAACATGGTCGAGTCGGCAGGTCGAGCCTCGGCGACGGCGGGGTCCTCCAAGCGCGAAAACCCGCGCGAACACCGGGTGGAAACAAACAAACAGGGAGAAAAAACCCTCCGGGGGGTCGCAGTTGGTACCAACAAACATACTGTTACTATTGGTTGTTCACTGAGGGGTGCCCTCTTTATGAACACACCGAGCAATACAGTAGTTCAAGGTAATCCATGTTGCGCATTGTCTGGCCAGCTTCCCTCAGAAAGTGAAGGTGGCCTGTCAATGTCACGAATGCACATTGGTAGATTTCATGTTTTCCGTTCGCTGTTGGGCTTACGAGGGCCCTTGACCGCCAATCGACCGCTACGCCTTTTGCAGAAATCGCTGCGCTTTTCACTTCGACGGGATCGAGACTTCGAGGGCTTGTCATCCCCTACAACGAGATTGGTAGCGGAGCTGGACACGATCCTCTCCGAGTATTTGGACGGTGCACCACGTGTTTGAAGTTCTCCCGGTGATCCTGTGAAAGGACATAGAGGTGAACATCTCACCGTTCGAGTACGGCTTGGCAGCTACGATGAATCGTGGCGCAGGGACTGCAGAAAGATCGGAGCCACCGAGGAGAACGCAGAGAAGAGTCCGGACCCCAAGGGAAGAAGACTTTCCTGAAGATCTACTACAACCACCTCGTGCTAATGGAGGTTCCCCCGGACGAACTGGTGGCAGCAACTACAAAGGTTTGGATTCTGGACTGTCCAAAGCTTGTCCAGACACCGACAAGCTCAACCAGAAGAACTACAGAAGTTTTCGAAGAAGAGTTGAACTGTTCGAGAGACAATGTCATAGAAGAAGTGTTGACGCCGCCATCGAGGGTACGCTTCTCCTGATCTCTCGATTGCAGGACTTGGCATGGGATTCCACTGAGCAGATCTCCTTCGAAGCCTTGGAAAGGAGCAGTCGCCCCTTCACCTTTGTGTATGAGATCCTGGACAACCTGTATCAATATGAACAACAGGTTGAGGTTCCAACTCGTTGTGAAGAGTTCTTTGCCGAGTTCCAGCGCTTAAAGAATGAGGACATGACTTCCTACCTGGTCAGGCACCGGACTTTGTTGAAGAGAATGAAGGAAGTTGGAGTGGAAATGCCAGCTCTCCTATCTGGTTGGCATCTTCTCACCCGTGCCGGTGTTCCTCGTTGGACTCATGTCCAGGTGAAGGCGCTATGCCAAGGGGAGCTGGAGTATGAGAAAGTCCACAAGGCGCTGATGAAGATGTTCGGAGGAGACCATCGGCCAAATCCCAAAGATCTCATGAAGATGACTGGAAGCTCCAATGACGTCATGTTCGAGGACGACTATGACATCGACGATGAAGAAGGCTTCTATGAAGAAGAAGATTTGGAATGGTGGGACGATGAGATCCACTACGAAGAAGATGAAGAGTGGCCTGAAGAAATGGACGAGGCAGCTGACGCTGTCGATGAAGCTTTCATCTCCTACCTGGACAGCCGACGAAGAATGCGTGAGTTGGCCCTCTCAAGAGGATTCTTCCCCGTGGTAGCTCTCGGTCCTGATGTCGAGGGCAAAGGAGGAGGAAAAGGAAAAGGCAAAAGCTCTTCGAAAGGAAAGGGCAAAGGCAAAAGTTCCATGAAAGGAAAAGGAAAAGGGAAGAGTGGCTTCCGCAGAACCTTTGACAACCGTCGACCTATGTCCGGATTGCGGAGACCTACCAGTTCAAGCAACAGCTCGAACATCAACGACATCAAGTCGACCTTGTCTGGCTCTACCGGCCAACATGGACCTCGCTTCAAACGTTTCAGAGTTCAGTCCAATGGTGTCAAAGAGGTTCCTGAAGAACAAGTTTCTATGGTGGAGGAGAATGCAACAGTTGATGAGTGCTACTTTGCGGCACTACTTCCTGGACAGGCCATCATCGACTCAGGTGCTACCAGGACCATCGTTGGCGAAGATGTCTGGAAGGAATGGCTATCCTTCGCAGGTGCCCTGGATGTCAAGATCACTGAGGCCACCCGTGACTTCAAGTTTGGAGGTGGTGAAGTCCTGAGATCGAGTTATGATGTCACCTTTCCTGTAGCTCTTCAAGGACAAGATTTGGTCGTGACTGCTTCTGTGGTGCCAGGAAAGACACCCTTTCTTTTGGCCCGACCTACGCTTGAAGAGTGGAAAGTGCAACAAGACTATGAAAAGGGTATGCTGCGCATCATGAATTCAGACTGGTTCAAGCCTGAACGTGGCCGCAAAGGACACTACATCGTGAACCTGTTTGAGAACAACACCATGGACGAGACCAGCTTGGTTGAAGAAGCGTTGGCCATCCCTGAGGAGATCCAAGTGATCATGCGAGAAGAGACAACTTGCTGGGAGATCGAACCTAGCATTCACAAGGAGGTGGAAGACGCCAATGAGTGGGTGCAGCTGGATTTCGAAGATAAAAGTTTGATCCATGAGGTGCTCACCAACATCCATTCGAAGCCCAAGATGAATTTCTTTGAGGTATATGTGGATGAAGGACGACTGGCGACCACTTTGGTTCAAGAGCATGAGGATGTGGAAGTGGCAACTTTCACCTTGCCTGATTGGGACTTCAGCACCATTGAGGCACAAGAGAGTTTCATCAGCCTGCTGAAGCGCATTCGTCCTGAGCATGTCTGGCTTGCGCCTCCTTGCACAAAGTGGTCATCCATGCAGAATCTCAATGCCCTGACGCCTGAAGCTCAAGAAAAGTTGAAGAAAGAAAGATGTCAGGAAGAAAAAGATCACCTCAAGTTCGTGGTACAGGTCTTCGACGTCTGTGCCGATGCTGGACTTGGTGTCAGCATGGAACATCCACGAGGAGCAGAGTCTTGGAAGACCAAAACTATGTCAGAGATGGACATGACCTATTTGATGGATGCCGAATGCGACCGATGCCAGACTGGCTTGTGTGTGAAACTTAGCAATGGCATGATCGGCAAAGTGAAGAAACCAACTCGCATTCGGACGAACAGTCCATTGGTGTATGATGCCTTGAACCTCACCTGCAATTGCGCTCCTGGAGAGCATGTGAAAATGGAGGGCCGATCTCGTGAACTCAAGCACTTGCAGAACTATGAGAGAGGCTTTGTTCAGCGTGCAACTGAGGCCATCTACCGTGACATGTGCAAAAGATGGCATGACAATGAGATGCTGAAGATCTTCGTGACTGACGAGCTGGACGAGCTGGAGGTGAGAAAGGAGAAAGAAGAAGAAAAGAATGTTCAGAAAGAAGACAAAGAGCTGATGAGAACCCACGGAAGAAAAGCTTGGCAAATTGTGAACAAGTTGCATCGTCAGCTCGGCCATCCTGGACGCGAAAAACTGATTCACGCTCTCAAAGGTGCCAAATTCCCAGAGGAGGTGATCCAATGTGCTCGCAAATTCACTTGCGAGATTTGTCAGAGCGAAGCTCCAAAGAAGTTGGCTCATCCTGCTTCCCTCGATGAAGCCAGCTACTTCAATGAAGTCATCGAGATGGACACCTTCCACCTGAAATGGGGAGACGAGAAAGTCAAGATCCTCGCGATCATCGACCTTTTCACCAAGTATGAAGTGAACGCTGTCTTGCCTCGAGAGACAGAAGCTGCTGAACTGAAGATCATCGAGGACTTGTGGTTCCATCCCTTTGGATTCCCAATCAAGCTCAAAACTGATGCTTCAGGTGCTCACATGAGCCAAAACTTCATCGATGCCATGGACGGCTACAAGATCAAACTTGTTTTGATTCCAAAGGAGGCACACTATCGCCTGG